TTAAAGATAATAAAATGGTGTGTGTAATAGGCTTTTAACCAATTTGATAACATGTACCCAAAAAATTTGGAAGCCAATCGAACACAGCATTAATAAAACTTTCGGTTACTTAATTATAAGTGTTATAGTATCATAACAATTATGGTATATTTAATTGGCGTCATTTGAATGTTACATATAGTGCACAATCTTTGACAGACATTTTAAGATATTTTACATTTAAATGTTGACATCAATGCAAACCTCTGTAATAGTATTACGTTTTATAACCTATTGTTTTCTAATTAATTAGACGTTAGAAAATATTAGTAATTAAAATTAATTCAACCTAAAATAGTGAAGTTTTAATGTAATTAAATGTGTAATATAATTAAAAATGTAACAAGTAAGCTTATTTTACATACAAATTTCTTTTGATATTGATTCTCATAATATTCTGTAAAAATAATATTCCCTTAATATTCTAGGAAAATCAGAATTATAGTTCCCCCCTCTCTCTCTCTCTCTTCTTATGTATAAACAATTAAATGTATAAATTTTTCATTGCAATAAATATTGGAAAAATAAATGCAAATTTCAATCAATAATATTCTAATGATTCATTAGTAATGAATAACAATAAAGAATTATGTTTTGTATTGCACTTTTTTTAGTAAACCGACTAACGATAACTATGTGCCCAGTCACATACAGTCACATACAGGCTTACTAACATTTCATTCATTACAACCTAATCATAATCCTAATCCTGAGTGTAATTTCATTGTTTCCGATTCATTATTAGTCGATTGTAATGAATAAAACATAAACCAAATGTATATTACTGTACATTAAATCAATAGCACATAAAAATCTATTTCAAGTTTAAATTTTCACTCGATTCCTGTTAATTGTTGATTAATAGTAGTAATTGACAATTAGTTCTCAATTAATTAATTAACAATAATTCCCATTAGTTTAGTCTAAATAAGTCCAAAGTAACTGTTGTTAATTCAAAACTACGTTTTTGGCCAACTCTAGTGCTGTCCAGCGATGAGCAGTAAAGAACCAAAACTTGATCCATACTCTGGTGATGACAGACTCAGTATTGAGAACTGGTTATCACTCTTCGAAGTGGTTCTCTACGCACTTGAGATCACATCCAGTAAACAAAAAGTGGTGAAACTCATGTCTTATCTCGTGGGCGACGCTCTCGTGTTCTTCGCTGAACACATTTGCCCGAAGATAAAGACCATCACTTGGAAGAAATGCCGTCGACTTTTTATCAATCGATTCACACAAAGCGACACTCCAATGGATAACATGTCATCATTACCTCCTTATCCATGCAAATACTGCCAAACACTTGGCATTACAGCTAATCATTGGCACAGTCAGTGCCACAACCGATCGCAGTCACCGACGAGGTCTCGGTTAACCACCACTTCGTCAGATAGGCCAAGGCATATGTGCCTCTTAGCTCTGACCGCACGTTCAGAATATGATAGAAATTAAATTTTATTCAATATATCGCTTATAAATATTAATTTATTGACAAAAATTGTTATATAAATTATTGATTGAAATAAAACTTAAGAAAACTATTTTGAGCGTTTGTCTCCAATTTGGAGAGTTGTGTCACTTCATCGGCCATTTGGCTCACGTGGTCGTTGTATGTATACCTCTGTCCCGTATTCTTCGCCCCATACGTTACTTTACCGTCAAATGCATTGATTTGTAATTTAAAATCTGATTCAATTGTGTCTACAATGCAATTCAAACTGTCCTCAATGTCAGCCAAAATCTGCAAAAAAAAACAATATTAACTGATTGCCGCGTAAAAACCATAATGTAATTTCTCACTTGAAGTTCATTATACCAAATACAACAGCCGCCGGCATCAGTCAATGCCGTCTCATAACAACCCTTTCCTCTGGACGAACAGTTTGAATGATACCAAACCTTCTCCTGAACCACAGAAACCAAACTAATCGCTAAACCCATTCGTTCGGCTCTCCCTTCATATCATTATATATTTTAATATTTAATTATTTCATAACTTTTAAGTAATTAAAAGCAAGAAATAAGTATAAATACATACCGACGCGTCCGATACGATGCAAATAATTGGACTTTTCGTCCGGAAGTGTCATTTGAATAACAAATGGAACCCCTTTTAAAAATAATTATATTTTAATTAAATTTATTATAAATAAGTTTTCTAAAGAGAGCGCACCTTTAATATCGATACCCCGGGCGGCAACGTCTGTGCAAATGAGAAAATTACACTTTCTTTCCTTAAATTTGTTCAAATTCTCATTCCTTTCGTGAGGTTTTCGGTCGGAATGCAGACAAACACACGAATACTTATTGTTGGCATTTCGTGGCCCTAAATATCATAAATAGTAACGATTTGACTTAAAATTACCATAAAATACATTTGTCAACCAAACCTCCGCCGATGGCATTGAAATGATTTTCCAAAGAATCGCAATCGACTTTTGTTCTGCAGAATATGATGGCGTGATCTATGTTTAAGGCGTCGATCGCTTTCACCGCATAATGACCTCAAAATACAATATCAAACAAAAATTAGTAAAAATTAATCTCAAAATTGAATGTGTGTTACATTTAAGGAGTTTGACGGCTTCGCTCAGTGTCTCCCTATCGGGTGAATTGTAATTCATATTATCTCTATAGTGGACGCCATCCGTCTTATAAGAAGTCCTCAACGATTTCCACGACAAGTCTTGTCGCGGATCTACTCTATAAACCACGTGATGAACCGTTTCTGGAATAGAGTCTTCGCCCTAACGAAACACAAATGTTGTATTCATTTAAAAAATTCAAACTTTTTCAATAACACCTTTAAGTCGACCCAAATGGGGAAAAACATGACTCTATTGGCAAAATTCTTGACATCAAAGTTATGCAAAGTCGCCGAACAGACAATCATTTGAAGCCGTCTTCCGTCGTCAAACATACGCGGAAGCAATGAATGCCAACGCATCAGAAGATTCTGATTGCCCTGTTGTAGGAGAGCGTCCACTTCATCGATCACAAAGAATCTGTTCATTCAGGCATTATATTACCGTTAAATCGATTATTATATCCATTATTGTCATAGTATAGCCACTTATATTAATCAGTAATACATACCCACAAGAATCCAACACTAAATTGCCGTTATTTATTAATTCTTCAATCCTTCCGGGAGTGCCCACAACTATGTCAACACCGGCTGACAACTGATCCATTTGGTCCCTGGCGTTAATGCCGCCCACGAGTAACGCCTGTTTCACTTCTCCCGACAAATTCTTCTTAAATTGTGTGATACAGTCGTACGTCTGTTGAGCCAACTCTCTGCTCGGCTCCACAATCAGCGCTTTGGGGCCAGACTTTGTGTTCTGGGATTCCGATGCAACACTTGTTCCACAATTATTACTGCATATTTGACTCCCACTTGCATTTCCAACCCAAACAGTATTAGGCGGACAATCAGTGCCTTTAGTTAAAACATCACTAAATGTATTCCAAGTAATTTATAATTGATTCACAAATACCTGTAAACCTAACAGTAATGCCGGCGTTCTTCACACAAATAGCCGGGAAGAAGACATTCTGTTCTCCAATTTGTTTTGTAAGTCTGAAAGCAATTCCCAAATCTCTGCCGCCTTTGGTGTACGAAATGGTATTGTTGTCCAAATCGATTATATTTCCAATTACATCAAACTTGTCTCCAAATGGTTGGCCATAATCAGAGAACTGCTTTGCGGTACTCTTTTTAGCAGTTCCGCCGTAACCCCAACTCCGGCCGTCACAGCCCAACTCTAAGTTAGCGCCAGCCAGAGACCAGCCAACCCGAGCCAGACCTGGGTCTGTAAAAAGCACCTCAAAGTAGAATCGATTTAATTTGGATGTCGGGTCCTAAACATCACATAACATATTAGGCATCACTTCTCAAATACAAATCCTTTTTATTAATCATTACTCTTCTGAGGCCATAGTTAGCCCGACAGCCCTGCCATCGCTGGTCTCCTTTGCTTTGAGCGGACAACCCGTCGGGACTGAGCGAAAGATTCATCTCTCTATCACTGGGACTCAATCGCCATATATGTGTCGTGTCTTCTTTCTTTGCGCTCTTTTTCATGTCTTGGCATAAAATACAAACAAATGACATCATTATAACCGAAACGGGTATTCAAACCAAACATACCGTAAAGAGTCTCCCAAACAATCTGAAGAACTGGTATACAAAAAGCTCCGGTTTTGCCGGAACCGGTCTCCGCGGCCATCAGTACATCTCCACCGCCGAGAATCAATGGAATCGCTTCCGATTGTATATCTGTTGGAAGCCTTCGGACAGACATTTAATGCAATGTTAGAATCCATTCATTAATTGATGAACTGATCCCAAGAACCCGAGACTTACGTCCATTCCATACGTTCGACCGCTTCGGCGATCTCTGACATTATCCCCATTTCTGGACATCATTTCAATCATAATTGTCATACAATTAGTCCATTAATATCTAAGAAGTGACCGAAACATACCCTCAAATGCTGTCATCTCTGGAAGTAATGAAAATCAGATCAAATGATATGCAAATCAAATGCGAAAAGTGTTGCGAAAAATCAAAATCTATTTCAAAGTGTTTTCGCTTTCAAATCAAAAGTTGAGTTTTAGTGACAAATGTTTTACGCAATTGTCGTATAGAAAGGGCACAAATGAATGTCTCAAACATTGCTATTTTTAGACCCTTTTATATCTACAAAATGATTAATCACTCGATTATAACGAGCTATGAGTTGATTATGTGCTGCAAGTGTTGACCAAATGAGGGGCACATCCTTTGCACCGATCGGACGGCTCTTTCACTGACAACTAAATTGTGTTTAAAAGTTAACACAACTATACTTTTGGCCTCAATTTGTGCCTCAAATGAGTTATACTATTAGTTGTTGTAATTTATGACCAAATTATCGATCCATTGGATTGAGTGAAGAAGTATTGCCACTTCAGGTGTGATTGTGGTGTGAATTGGTGTCCGAAATGATAATCTTCAGCAAAAGAGGGGCCATATGTTGTTCCCTACTGTCGTGTTGGGCGATCGTAATGTTAACATTGATGGGAATCCTATTATACAGCCATTCATTGGCTTTTGCCGAAGACCTGGAGTTGCATGAAATCAGTGGCGAAAACAATATGAAGGAGTTTATCGCTCAGTCCTTCTCGAGGTATGAGTCGGCGGCCCATAACTGTTGGATCGGCGCTTGTCTTTACATCGCTTCCCTCGCCTTCTCTGTCCATCAGTATTACTCCAACAGAAGACTTCAATACCAGACATAACACCACAAAACACACACTTTTTTGTCTTTTCATTTATTGCATTTCATTTCAATTATTGTCTGATCTCTAGTCAAACGCTAATTGTTAGCCAATAATTACAATTACTGTAAATTTATGTATATTTTGTTGATTAAAATCGTTTAATTTAACGTTAATTTCTGTGTCATCTCTGTTGCCACAAACGATTGTCACTTTAATCGCTTCCATTAGAAATGGCATTTCATACTAACGTTTGGTAAAAGAAATTAAATTTAAGACAAAATAAGTATTTATTAAAAATATTGATGAAATTTAATCACTTATAACAAGAATAATAAAATCTTTTTAAGTAAAAAACAAATAGAAATGATAAGTCAAAGCGTGGCTAAGACTCTGGTAAATGAGAAGACAAGAGTGACCAGAGTTTGTCCGCAGCCCCAGAACATGGCGTACAGCGGATACATCTGGAAACTGGCCGCGCGGTGGACACCGGCCACTGCCGCAGACGTTATCGAATATGCCGTCAATGGAGTGACGATTCCGGCCATCAGCACAAGGATTGGACCAAATCTAAGACTCTTATGCCGACGAAGCGATCCAAACGCTATACTCGACGCCAATATATGTATGATTATGGATGAGAAGAGAGACCACAAGAAGACGTGATACCACATCTCTGGGCACAATTCAAGCGTTACTACATTTGACACAACATTTCATTCAATCATTAATATTACCGACAAATGTGTGGATCGGGTCATGAGATAAGCCGATGACTGTCCAAAAAGAGTTCAATTTGGATGTATCGAAGTCTTTGGACTGCGAGACACCCATCACTGCCAATACATCCAATCACTTCAACACTTCCTCCAAAACCACAAAACGAGACCACTTTTGAATGTATTGACAATTTTCATGTCATCAACAAATGAATTGATTCAAACTTTTGGTCCCTTTTATGCACTAAACATACGTTGAAATGAATGCACAAAAAGTACCAAAACATGTGTGAAATGTGTTGACATGTGTTGAGCGCACAATCCATTCACAAATGCATTGAAAATTTCAATTTCTATGACAGAGTTTCAAGACGTGAATTGACTTTGATTTTCATCTGATTTTCATGTGATTTGTTTGAACAGACAATGTCTGGTAATGTGGTGTTCGGTCAGCTGGTTGTGGGTCCCGCCGGCTCCGGGAAGACCACATACTGTCACGTTATGGCCGATTACTTGAGACAATTGGGTCGGACAGTGATCACTGTCAACATTGATCCGGCAAACGATGTGCTGCCATACGAACCCACTATTGATATCTCAAAACTGATCACTTTGTCCGATGCCATGGAATCGATGTCTTTGGGGCCGAACGGCGGTCTACTCTATTGCATGGATTTCTTGGACCACAACTTTGATTGGTTTTGCGATGAGTTGAGGGCAGCCGTGAAGACGAGCACCGATGGCAAGGAGTCGGCCATACCTTATGTCTTAGTGGACAGTCCCGGACAGATAGAGCTCTACACCAACAACGGTTCCCTCAAAAGTGTTTTAAATAAATTGAATTCATTGTCAAAGCGAAACACATTCGCCGACGAAAGCGAGAAGAGTAGTGATAAGAGTAGTGATGAAAATGTATTGGATTTACGTTTGGTTTGCGTGAATATCGTTGACTCTCACTATACGAATGAGGCCTCAAAGTTCATATCCGTTGCCATCAATTGTCTCCAATCGATGATCCACTTAGAGATGCCTCACATCAGTGTCCTCTCGAAAGTGGATTTGATCCAAAAGTACGCTAAGACTGACTTTGGCCTCGACTTCTACTGCGATCTCTTGGACCTCAACTATTTGGTCGACAAAATGAATGAACAAAACGACCCGTTTTTGGCCAAATACCAGAAACTGACGGCCGCTTTGGCCGGTGTTATCGAAGACTATAGTCTGCTATCATTTATTCCTCTGGATGTGAATAACGCCAAGTCTGTGATCCGAGTGCTTAAGTCATGCGATCGCGCGAACGGCTATTACTTGACTGATTTGAATGAAGAGGAATTGTTGCACAACTACTTCAGAGGCAACGGTTCCGCAGACTTCCAGAATTCAAAATACGAGGAATTACTCGAAAAAGTTATCGATTAATAATATATGTATTAAATCATTGGAAAACAATTTTTAGAAATCATTTATTTATTTTTAATTTAAATATTTTTCAATTTAATTAATCTTAAATTTACTAAATTTATAATTAATAAAATACTCTCAGAACTAGTATTTAATGAATATTTGCTAAAATTACACAACTTTTCAATGAATTCATTGAAAATAATTTAAAATTTCTAAAACTGTAATTACAGTTCAATTAATTATCTGAACGTTAATAGCGTCGGCTTCAGTGATCAAGAGATCGATGGCTTGTTTGATCTCCAGATGGGTTCGTGTGTCACGAATCCAGTCTTTGGCCACATTTCTCGGCTCACCTTTCAATTGATTTGCATATTTGAGGGCCATTTCTAAGTTATGGTTTTTCAGACAATGTTTCACACGAGTTAGTATATCGAAAGTATCCCAATTCGATGGATCAACTTCTTTGTCTTCCAGTTCTTCGGTCGGTATTCTCGAGTCTCTGAAGACTAGAAGCGATTGAACGTAAGATAACAAATAGAGGTAAAGACTTCCGCCTTCGTCCCCAATAAGAGCCACTCGTTTGCAATATTTATCCACTTTTTGAAATCTTTTAGCCAAATCCTCTTCACTGTAAACACCAGTTGTAATGACCTCTTTAGGTATGCTCTCGAGTGCACAACGAATTAATGGCCTGTCTTTTAGTGTCTCTTTATTCACAATCGATTCAATGGCACTCATCTCTTGGCTTAAGGATATCGGCAAAGTCTCTGCACTCATCGTTGGCTTATGGCTCAGCGCTTCCTTCAAAGCCTGCCCTAAGACCCAGAGCTCACGAACCGAGTGCTGGTCTTTATCTAACTGTTCTCTTGCTATCAATTTTAGACATATTTTTAGTTTCAATTTCTAACCATTTTTACTAATATATGAGACAAACCTTTGAGAAGTTCTTCTAAGAATTTTAATCTATAGAAACCGTTGGAAAGTTCCGATTGAAGTCGATTTCGTTCTTCTAAAACATTTTCTTCGACTTTATTGTCATAATTTCGTTTCAATTGATGCCTCAATTGAGACATCTGTTCGTCTAAATGCTCGTTAAAAGCAGTCAATTGTCGTTTTAATTGGGTTTTCAACTCTAATTCAAACTTCTCTTCGAGTTTATTAATCTGTCAGAAATCACAACATTTTGTTAAACAATTGGTTTTGTCAACAAAAATAATAAATCAAACCTTTCGTTGATATTCGAGTTCAATATCTTTCCTGAGTTTTTGGTCATCTGTTGGTAAAAGAGTCAACAAATCCTTCATAACTTCATTTGCAATAATCGTATCCAACTGTGAAACGGAAGAATCGGGTAATTCAGAGGTTTTGTCAGACTTTTCCTCTTTGTTTCCAGTATTGAACAATGTTTCCGATTTTTTGTCTTCTTTCTGATTATCAGTTTTTGAATCTTTAGTATCCGTTGTTTTGCCCGAATCGTGCGGTTTGTCTCCACTTTTATCAACATTTTGACTGCTATTCACACTCTTATTAATTGTGGACTCCTTTTCATTCGCTTGAATTGTATTTCTATTTCGCTTTTTATCCAAAAAACTGATTTCAATCTTGTCTTTCGTCTTCGAGTCATTAGTGGACGAAATACTCAACTCTTTGTGAATCAATGGTCCCAACAATGCGTTAAACAAATGGTCAGAAAAAGGGACAGAGTTTTGCACTTTTCGCCGAAACTCGGGATCATATTTGGCGTAACCTATCGTCAGTGCCGTCACTCCCACCACAGATGAGCCCACAATTAGACCCACTTTTGCTGCACTGCTATATATTTGGCATTCAATACAACAGTAATGAACAAATAAATTCAATTTAAATCCGATTCAAACCTTTTATCTCCATCTGTGGTGTAATACCGAAGACATTGATTCCGATTCTGTTTCGACAGTTTCTGTAAACAAAGCGTCAATTAAAGCAAAATATGGGCCAAAAATGAGATCAAAATAAACATTGAATACCGAAATAGTGTTGAGTTTAAGCGCCGACCGAAACATGACTTCAATGTGTGATAAAGTGATGTAAATATACGTGAAATGTAGTCAATAGTGACGGCAATGACATGAAAATCAGTGGCAATCCATTCATTCACTTACCGGTCGTTTCACAGACTCTCACACATTGAAGCACTCATTCACTCATTCAATGCAACCAAACATTGAAAAACACATTCACTATAAATAGCATCAGAGGTCTCAACGGCGCGATTACACAGCAGTGACGGCACTACTCTTCACCTCAACTTATATCCCAATATCGGCCACTCTTTCAACATTTAAGTGTCAATCAATGCTTACAATTTGATTGTCGATTGCATATCATCTCAGTCTCTATTCATCACAATTAGATAATTAAGTGTTTAATTAAATGAATGGATAGTAAAGTGAGTGAATAATAGTTACGTAAAGTATTGGCAAATGTGTTGACCTCTAGTCTAGTAATTGAAGTGATTGTCAGCTGTTTTTCATAGGCTTTAAATTACTTACAGTTTTGTTTGGATTAATAATAAAACAACAAAAACATTGATTTGTATTGTATTTCATGTGAGATATGTGTGTATTTTGTTTATTAAATTGAGTGCTTTGTAATCAATTCGAGTGATTGAAAGTGTGGTAATGTTTGTCTGAACCCATGGGTGGATGTCTGGGATCGCGAAGGAGTCGTCCATCGAGTGGTGATTCTCTCAACAGTAATATTCATCCAAATGGTAGACCAAATGCACGCCATTTCACTCATTACACCATTCATTCAATCATTCAATCAATCATTCATTTACTCATTATTTTTAATTAATTCACTTATTATTCACTATATATATATGTTATTATTTTGACTGTAATTAAAGCCATTTAACGATCGTTTATTGTATTGTTTTGTATTGACTATAGTATCGATTGGGAAGAATCAGCCGCTGAAACATGAAGTGCTTAAGTGGAAGAGGTCTTCATTTGTTACCATTCTTTGCATCACTTAATATACATATTATATTATATTATATTAGAAATTGAATAATACGTACAAATTATATATTTAATAGTTATATGCAATGAATTTGTTACCCATTTAGTGACGTCCCGCTCACTGACGGACAGCTGAGGTCCAAAAGAGATGAGTTCTGGGATACGGCACCAGCTTTTGAGGTAACACTCATCTCATTAGTGACAGACATAGATGTTTGCAATAATTAAATCGATTTGTTTAAAGGGTCGCAAAGAGATTTGGGACGCGTTAAAGGCGGCGGCCTTTGCGGCCGAAAGCAACGACTTTGCGTTGGCTCAGGCCATCATTGACGGCGCAAACATCTCATTGCCTAACGGTTTGTCCGCATTTGACTCATATATTGACAGCAATTATAGTGTGAATGCAATGACAGGAACACTACTGGACTGTTATGACGAGTTGGGCAGTCGATACCAACTGCCCATATATTGTGTGAGCGCTCCCATCAATTTGATTGAAGAGAGCAGCGATTCTGAGTCGCCATCGCCTGAAAGCGAACCGATCGGCGCCACCGCTGGCGGCGAAGAGATGTTCGTGAAGTTCCGGATCAGTCCCTCTTGTAATGACGTAAAAATGGCGGTTCTCTCGAAGGAAACTATTTTAAGTGCTAAGAAAAAGTTGGCTCTTCTCGAGAGTGTCGAGCCTTTCCGACAACGGTATGACTTATTTGTTGAAATTGTGACCAATTTTATGATTTTATTCAACGTTTTGGTTGTATTTCAGTTGGTTTTTCGGCGGAAGACTATTGAGTGATAAACTAAGGATAGAAGACGTGAAACTTCAGTCTGGATTTGTAGTACAAGTTGTGGTCTCTTCTCCACAGTCTGCAGATCACTGACGAAGAAGAAAGTCAAGGGTTTAGTCAATCATTCAGATATAACGAGCGCTCCTTTTATTTAAACTGTGATAAAAAACGACAAAATATTTAACTTTTATTAATTCGGACACAAAAGACAGGAATTATTTTACTTAAGTCTGAGAACCGATTGTGAATACAAACAAATTTTAATATCATTTTGTTTCGGTCTCTCAGTTATGGGAAATTCATATGAAAAACAAAGGATTAATTACTAAAATTAAATGTGACTTTCATTCCAACTGTCGATTAATATAAAACAAATCATTTAAAAGCTAATAGTCTTATGAGAAACAAAAAGTAGTTTTTAACAAAATTTTAGTTTGTTTTGCATATATATTATGGTTAAGCCATTAATCGGTTATTTTCACGAACTGACAAAAAGCCTTTTGCAAACGATTCTTGCCTTCATATTCATAACGATATGTAAATCTCGACTAAATTTGAAGACTTTTGTGTTAATATACTGTACTGTATATCGCATTACATTCTAAGTCGCCATTCATTACAAATTTTATTTTGATTTCCCTTTTATTTGAGGAATTAAATCAATTTTAAACAAATTATTATAATTTCAATATTCAAGTAAAGCAACAAAACATTTATTATACCGTATATACATTTTTATTTTTTGTTTTTGTTTTTGGTTATTATTTTAATTGAAATAAAATGTTTGTAAAAAATATTTGTGCCATTTGTATATCATTTTATCAATACATTGATATATGGAAATCAAATTATTATTATAACAATATTCATAACGATTAGTACTTTGAATAATATTATAATAATTGATACAAAAATTAATGAAAATTAAATGCAAATGATAGTGATATTGATTGTAGAGTACTGTACGTCCGTATAGTGTAGTGAATGGTAGAAGTGTTGGGACTGTCAGGCTGTTAAGCAGTCGTGTGCAGGTAAGTCCAATTCATGATTACCTGCGGCACTACTACTTAGAAGTCTGGCATCGATTCTCAAACTATAGGCACTAATATTGCATTTGTCGGTCATTTTTGTCGCTTCTCTCTCACTTTCTGCCTCCACTTAACTGTAAAAAAATTTGAGATAACTTGCGATAAAAAAAAAGTTTATAAAACGACTCTTCTTTGCATTAAATGTTGAGTTCAATTGTCTAACAGATGCTTCTTCTCAGTACTGTTTTATCTGTAAATTAATTAATTAATATGAAAATAATTATTTTCAGCCGATTGTATTAGTAATGCGAGCAAAAGTATTGAACAGAATTTAATTTGTAAATTATTATTATTAATAGGAAATTACAAACAATTTGTATTCAATTAGACATTTAGTGTGTGAATGAATCGCACGAATGATTTTGTGACGGAAGGAAACTCTTGATATGATAGCAAACAAAGACGATGTGATGTATGGGAGAGTTTTGTACAGATTTGTTTGCAAACCAATGATAATGAGATCCCAACCAAAGTTATTGCCACTTATTTTTTCGCAATTACTAACTAAATACAGAGTGGTTTTCAGCAACTCATAAGTTTTGCGAATCTCTCGCGACAACAGTCTATATAACAGTAATAGTAATATGTGTTTAATATTGAGACGATTGAAGCACTGGTACGACAGCTCCAGAATCAGAGACTCGCACTTTGAACAAGAGATCACTTTATGTTCACTTCGATCCTATCGGTCATCAAATGTATGCCAAATGAGAGACCAAATAATTTTTCCAACGGAAGTGACCAAAGATACAGACGTTGTCTAGAATTTGATTCGGATTTTCAATTGAAAACTTATACCTCAAAAGTCTTTGGCACTAAATGGGAGAAAATGAGCGCAAATGTGCTGAAAGGGTAACCGATGTTATATAATGTAATTGGATATGCAATGCATTCGTTCAGCACAGAAGGTAGTAGTGGTGTAATAGTCGTACACTTATTCAGATATCGCTCACAAAAAGTGATAAAAATACCAGATTTGGAGTATATTTTTGCACATTTCTATTCACTTTTTCTAAATTATTATTTTTAATTAATTTTACAACATTTTCAAAGAATTCATTTATTTTAATCTATAGTTAATTAGTATATCAATAGTTTGCATACGAATCAAAGCGATCGGCACTTATTATTGAGAAGTAATGATACGATAGTGTAAAATAAAACATATCAATTGTTGGCACAGAAAAATACATTTTAAAAAATGCTTATAATTTAGCAAAAAATGATTGCATCATTGGTTAGATATAATAAGGACATGAGTCCACAGAAAATGAATTTAGTGTTAAGTAAAGCAAAAATGGGAGTTAAGAATGAGAAGTAAAGTAGTGTTAAGTTAGCATTAGGTACTCACCGGCGGCACAGAAGCGCCGTTTGTTGGGCACCAGTCGTGTCGATGACGATCGTTGACTACATTAAACCAGATTATGCTTAAGTATACGGTTTATGTAGTTATCATGTGTTTACTTTAGTTGGTCTGCATTTACTCATTGAGGTCTGCGTTGAAGAGAACGGTGGCGGAGGAGAGAGAGAGAGAGAGAGAGAGAGAGAGAGAGAGAGAGAGAGAGAGAGAGAGAGAGAGTAGAGAAGAATATACAGAGTATTAATGAATGGATTTGGATATGAATGGAGAATATGTTTGCAGATTGTGTACAATTGTACACCTGTTGTGACTCTGTTGTACTGTTTGTTGCATTTTAGACGATGTAATGATCGCTGTTTTGTGGATCTCATTCAATGCCTAACTAAATGGTGGACACTATCTGTTGTTTAGCTAACGTACGATTGGTTGGTGTATAGAGTCTCACATCCGATTCTGATAACATTGCAAACGTACGCCAATGAGGCATAAGTTAGTCTAGTTTTTCAATTAATTGAGTGTGTATTCACCTGTTGCCACATTTAAACACTTATTACTTTCCTATTTGTTTCTCATTGTCTCCCAGTATTGACGACACCATACAAATCAAGTGCCCCTTAATTCAGACCTCAATTAAATTCAATTCACAGAATCATTCAAATGCTCGCAAAAACCGTTTTTGCAAATCTATCCGATGATAGTCTACTCGAGATAACATTCAAATAGTATTATACATGCCTTATATAATATACTGTATACTCGACTACTGATGAGAGGAGTTCTAAAAAACTTTTCATGTTATGAGCCTTTGGTTTCATATTTCATTGTAGACGATATGAAATAATATTCAGTCATTTGTTTTGCTTTTATCGCATCATTTAATCTAATATTCAAGTTATTAATCTCTAATATATTATTAATTATAGCGTTTAGAGAGTTTTCAATGAGTTTTATAACAGAAATAAGTTGAAGCAAAAGCACTGGTAGTGTGTATTGGAAGCGATTAGACTGTGAAGAGTGAGGTCATACCAGTCCCTATCACTACTGATATTATTATACATACAGTATATTGGCTTCAATTTTGAGATAATTTCAAACCAGAATACCATTGCATGATATTATTGCTGATAATATACTCTAGTATTGAATGCATTTTGCACTGAATTCATATAACATTACCGATTGTGATGCTATTGTATTTCACAAACATTTATTAAATTCATTGCTCACCTGTTTTTCAAAGCAAACACTATTTTTTACTCTAAAATGTCTATTATATCTCAATATCCGAAGTCAACTAAAAGAGTTTGTTTGTCAAAAGTATGCAATGTTTGCACTAATGCCTACTGTCTCTCGAAAACACCGGTACTAATAGAAAAGCGATTAACTCACCAAACGATTCATTGATTGCTGTGAAACACACAAAATACACTCTGTCTTCACAAGTGATGGTCAGAAAGTTTGTGATGAGATGTTGGAGGAAAAGTATGCAACGCTTTGCAGTGCACGATATAATGAGCGTATGTCTCATCTCAATACACATTACGCCCATTATAACGGTCACAATAAAGCAATACATTATCATTAGGTGTATGAATATAAAAGACATACAACTTATTAACTTCAGACAAACTTCACAACTTATTTCTCAAAATCAATACATTATATTCTTCACAACTGCTTACCTGTTCTCTCGGCTCAACCACTCGTCGATCGCACCTTAAGCTTAATAACGATTCATAAAATGAGAAAAATTAACTTTGCATTTGGTTTCATAAAAGTTAAAGTGTTTAGTCTCTAAGGCCCGCATCGTATCAATTAAAAGTATACAATGACTGTCTGGTAGAGCACAGATAGTAGGGGTGAGAGAGAGTGTGAGGTATAGAGTGAGAGGGAGAGCACAAGGAGGAGAGAGAGCCGAACCCGTATTGTATTGTTAATGAATATGAGAGCAGAGAAGAAATGAGTCCTTAGACCACGTGGTGTATGGAAAGCCGTATTGAAGCCAATCTAATAGTTGCGGGCCATATGTGGTCCGACCTGTGCTGTCAAATAATTACTCTTTTTACCACATGTTTTCAGCTTTTCTTTTAATATTTTATTTGATGGATATATGTTTTGTGACATTTCATACCATTTCATATCTATTTATCTGTTTCTATATCTCGGCTCTAATAATATAACAGAATTCATAATTCATGACTCATTTCAATCACTAATTGTCTAATATTTTCATTCATTTACATTTTGTTTGCATATTCTTCTTTAAACATAACTAATCTTGATACAGTCCGCATCTTAATATAATTTCAATACTAATATTAGTATTAATCTAAATATTAATTACAATATATTGCTTAATGCAGTTATAAAAGTGAATTTAATTTGAATTTTCAAATGCTTTGCATACGGATAAGCGGTATATTGTGTTAGCAAATGCTATAACGAGGTCACAAATCATCTGTCATAACACCTGGCAATAAATTGCAATAAAATTCGTTTAATTCACTTCTCAAATACAGCACTAAATTTATCGTTTATTCCTATTATGTATATTACAGACTATTTTTATAATATCTGTGAACTTTATTATACAGACAAAACAGTTATTCAATTAACATTAGAATAAATTCATTAATTATTCTTTTAAAATAATTAAACTATTATTAAATAACAATTAATCCCAAATAGATTTTACGAATATTTTACAAAATTAATAGTTTTTCTAATAAATATTATCGGATTCTAATTCAATATAAATCAAATCAAATAGAAATACATCTTATAAAACAATTATCTAACGATTATATAAAAATACGATACTTCCATTAGCCGGGTAGTTTAAAATAAACAAATTTTTATTCATTGATATAGATTTTAATAATATTTAATAGATTTAAAAGCTTACAAAACGGCAATAACTATTGCCCGCATTATAGTATCGATTGATATAACACTTCCTGCAGATGTTTCGCCACTAAACCTCTGATAAATATTAATTTATACTTTATTTCTTAGTCTCATATTTAGTCAAAAAAACGAAAGTTAAATAAAATGTAATGTTTTATTGTTAACTAATTGAATATCAAATCCCTATAATTGTAGAGCAAATAAACTAAAGTAACCCTACAGTTGGTGGTCGAGCGGACAACAGTGGCTCTATCGGCTCTTTCAAAGTTGCTTTTGACCTATAAATGCAGTCATTATGTATTAATTTACAACTCAATTCATCAATAGTTATAAAGGCATACCATTTCAAAGTATTTGCCATCGCTTAGACATAAACAGCGAAGTCTCAGACACTTCATTCTAATCGCATCTGTTTTTGTAAAACAATTATTTCATTCAATGAAAACAATTTTTATGATAATTGAATTTTTTGGATGAAAATAAAAAGCAACAAAAATAACAAACCGACGGCTTTACTACTTCTGTCAGAGAAACGAAGTGTCTCTGAATCCCAACGCCCTTCGATTCTCTCCACTTGACCACAATTATTGGCAATTGAATCAATCAAAGAGTCGATATGTATTTTCTGGTGAATCTTCTGACAACACCCCTCAGGCATTCCCATCACTAAAACTCTACACACAATACAATTTATTTATTTATTTGGTCAACAATTTCCTAAATGCTGATACTATTACACCTGATGTTCTTAAGCCACGGCAATACTGTTGTCCAAAACGATTCTGTGAGATGTGGTAAACCAGAAAGTTGTAGTCCTCTCAGTAACGGCGCTTGAATTTTGAGAAATTTGAGTAACACTTCTTCCGACACGTTCTCATTGCGATCCAAATCTAATGAAATCAATGACTTTGTGTATCCCTTTTCCATAAACTCATTCAAAACCAAATCTGTGAAACAGTCCTGTTGTCCGGCGCTTAGGTAACGGATAGACGGGATTCGACACAACACGTCGATTAGACATTCTGTGGACAATTCAGTGGCCGTTATATCCAATTCTTGGATACTTGTCTTCTCCCACTCCACGGACATCATGTGATCGCTTTGTAGGTCTGTTTTGCAATAAATAATTTATAGTGATATTGATTGTGATTAATACAAAAATGCATTACTCGTGTGTTGCATAAGTAGACATCGAAGTCTTTTGCATCGATGAAACAATAGCTTTAAAGTACTTCCAGTAAATTTTGTACAGAAATTAAGTGCTAAACACTCGAGTTGTATGCAATTACTACTAAGAGAGTCTACATGACTGTCATCGACGAAATTAATGCCGAATAAATTAACGACTCGAAGGTTGGGAACAGCGCTCTTCAGTTTATGAATGTTCACCACTTCATAGATTTCTTCCTCTTCCTCTTCGACCGCTTTCTCATAAGTTCCGACTAAATGCAAGACTTCTAAGCCATTAATGAAATTGTATATCTTTCTCATAAAACCCTCCATAAAAATAACTTCAGACAAACAAATACACATAGTTCTCAGTTTTGTGGGAAATGAATGCAAATCATTGAAGTCATGCAATTGCATAGCCGTTGAAAAGTCTAACAACATATTTGTTAGATTTGGACATTTATTGGCCAATTCATGGAGAACTGTGTGTGTTATCAATTCAATTGGTAACTCTATATAACGCAGTGATGGACCTAATTATGAGGCAAAACACTAGTTAAAAATATATTTAATACACATTTGTTTGGTAAATAACTGACCGAAACGGATGGATATGAGTGCGAGGAGAGACTCCATACTCGTCACATGCAGTCCCGACACATCGGGTCTGAGAGAGACGTGTGTCCATAGTTTAGAGTCACATGAAATCATTCGCCATTTCTTGCAAACTCGTGCCAAACGTGACACTTCCCGATGAGGCAGATATGTGAAGATTTTTAGTACTATTTTATCCGGAAGTTTGTCTAAAGTCTGAATAAACAAATTTATGTTTAAAATGTGCTCTAAATTGCGTTTGAATTTGATTATAAATTTAGTTAAAATTTATACAAATTCTTAAATAAATTTATTAAAATGTTTTTAGCAAAAATAATTAAAATATTTTCAATTATATTTCAATTCAATAATACATTTTAATTTTTATCAATTTTTTCTATAAGTGACAAAACATTTGATTGTATTCTCAGAATTCAACAAATCTATCACTAAATAAACTATTATATTCTTCGTTTACTTTGCGCTTATGTTTTTATGCGATAAAACATTTAATCCCATAATTATTATGTTTTATTGATTTGAAATTGTTTTATAAATATTGCAATAAAATTATTTGTATTTTGATTGACGTTAAAATATTTTATACACCAAAATAACGTAGTACTTTGTATAAGAATCACAAGCAATAACAAACAATTTATTTATAGCCAATTGATATTCTTGGCTTAAACAGAGAATGGTCTAATTTATTTAACTATTTAATTAAAAGTAAAGTTATTGGTCATAAATTGTTGATAATTAAAACAACGTGAATGGACGGGGGATTAATGAGTCGTACCGTGAGATGGTTTAGACCACCATTTTTGACGTGAAGACTGCTTCCCACTTGACTCGACTCCTTGATGTTGGCGAGCGCTGCCGACGAGACATCAGTGACGGCCCACATTGAAAGCCTTCTATCCATCCTTTCAGAGATGCCTTTTATACTGTTTCTATGAAGGGGTCGGAAGAGGGGACTCAACAAATGTATTCACTCTAAAGAATTATATTCTTTAGTTCTTCCTTTTTTATTACACTATAAGCGAACTTTCATTTAAAAATTATTTTTATATCATTTCTATAATTAGAAACTTAACGCTGAGAGAGAGAGGAAGAGGAAGAAATCTATGAAGTGGTGAACATTCAT